GAAAAAAAAAAAAAAATCAAAGCTCTGTAATTATCCTTGTTTCTTTGACTCCCTCGAAAGAACTAGTGATTAGTAGGATTTAGACTTTCGCCTATATGGTAAGCCCTTTGACTGTTTAGGATATGAAAATTTGAATAAATCGAGTAGCCATCGGCTTTTTTTTTATCAATCAAGCTCAGTATTTTAAGCTCTTATTCTCATGAATTTGGTACTTGTTTTTGGGGAACTAAAATTAAACTATACTTATTTTGGGCAAATAAAACTAGAATTTGAGAAATTAATTACATAGACGTGTGTGAACTACGTACGTATGCTAAGCGAAGCTGGTGGCGACATTCGGAGATGACGCTTTCTGAAGCAAAAGTCGCTGGACTAAAGCATGAGTTTGGGTCCATAGTCTGTGGGCCTCATTTTCTTCATCTGCTAAGCCCGAGCAACGACTTTCGTTGCAGTCCGAGAAGTACTTTCCGCTGAGCCCACTAATATTTGGGCTTAGTGCCACGTAACATGTCGTGGCCGCCCCCTGTGAAATTACCGAAAAGTGCCCAATTAATGAAATCTTGGTGTCTCGATGTTTGACTTTTCTTTGACATTGCTTTCGTGATAAAGAGCTAAAGCTTGAATCGATTAGCAAAACAATGATTTTAAAGATTTGAGATATAATCAAGCTGGTGGAGTTCCATTACATTAGAAACAAGCTTGATATAAGTTGATCTTTTATGCTCGAAATAATTTGATAATAGAATCACATTTTTATTTATGAAAAAAAATTATGTCCAATATTTGTATCTGAAGTGTACAAACCTAAACTAAAAAAATGTTAATAATGTATGTTCTTTTTGGTCAAATTGCCTGTATTTAAAGACGTGACCAAAGGCTGGGCCGGGTCGTGGGTTGGCGGGCCTCCCGGAAGTTTTGATTCTACCCATTGTCTGCACTGTTTGACGGAAGTTTTGACCCTCCGATCACATATACTTACCACACACTTGTGTGGGTTTATTTTGAGTTTTTGACTGTACAGTTAAAACTCAGTATGGCCAGTGCCCAAGGGACATTTTGTATTAAGAATGCGTGTTATACACATCATATCATAAGGCAGTTTATAGCTTATTTAGTTAGTTTATTACTTTTTTGTATTCAAACAAGTTTGTTTTGTATAACGGACACTTTTAAATAGTTGGAAGTTGGAACTTATTCCACACGCTTTTTTCCGTAGCTTTTCAGAAAAGTTTTTTTATGTTCAGTCGGTTAGTTAATTTTACCAAATACTTTTATTATATCAGCTAATTTTTCAGTCATTAGCCATAAACTATTAGTTATAATTTTAAAATTCAGTTATGAGCTTATCACCTCACTTTTCAGTTATCCAAAAGAGATATATGATGTGACGTAACATTTGCAACACAATATGGGCATAGATAAAGTGTGCTCGGACAGAACCTGTGTTGTCGATTTCAGCAACTTGGCCGCCACAAAATACAGAGAATCTGAAAAAGTACGTACATACATTATTTTTTTTACCAATAAGCAACCGTATAAAGAAGCTGGTTTTCAGTTAAGCACAAACAAATGTGAAAAAGACAAATGCCAAGTACATAACACAAATGAAGACAAAACTAATCTGAGGTGGCCAAAAGTAATAATAATTAAAAAAAAAAGAAAAAAAGACATGCCTGTGATAAAGCTTGTGTGATCCCTGATTATTCCAGTCTTTATAATTCCTGGATGAACTGCGTTGATGCTTACGTTTGCTGTTCTTGCCTGTTGTTTTCACGTACATAACAAATTACATAGGCCTCATAGCATGATTGGTCCACGGCTTAGCTAACAGTTTGGCCCCTATAGATATATATCTTATTTAGCAATTTCCTTTGGAATCTTATAGTTATTAAGTTCCCATAGATTTTGTTTGTGTGCAATATTTTGGTAAGTTATGATTTTGTGTAACTTTGATTTCGAATGGGTGCTTGCGATATTCGATATTAACCGATAAATTTGTTTTAAACGAAAACACATATTCTTTTTAAGACCGATAAATTTGTTTTAAACGAAAACGCATATTTTTTTAAAAAACAACCTCAAACAACTATTTAATTAGTCTATGCATGACTAACTGCGTAATTGGCGAAGCCACCAGAATGACTATTCAGATGAAAATTGGGGTGTCCGAATGCTGCTAGAACCGTGAAATTAAACGAGTCTTGCCTCGTTAACAAATGACTTTTATGTAATTTTCTATAGTTTGTCTCGTTAAACCTCGATTTCTGCTGGTTAAAGCTCGAGGTCGGCTGGTTAATATTGATAAACGAGTAAACGAGCCAAGCTTGAACTCGCGCTCGGCTCGACTCGTTTACACCCCTAAATACCGCCTAACGCCTACATCCGATTTTTAGAAGATTGAGTTTTAGTGATCCTCAAATATTAGAAGTAGGTTATTTTGTCAAGTTTGGATTGTGAATTTTGGATAAAAGAAACCTTTTTTCAGGTAAGGATTTTACCTTGAGCTTTCTTGCTAATTCCTTGGCATGTAATATGTTGGCTAGCTTTGATTGAGCATAAGCATAAGTACCATTATAACTGCACGAGGGACATATATAATATAAACACAGTTCTAACTTCTAACTTAAGCAAAAGTAATTCTGCACTGTCAGATTAAATATATATATGTGTATATAGACATAAAAATTTCTTCTCATAATTAATTTTGGGGTATTTAATTTGATTCTTACACTTTGGGATTAAGCAATTCGGTGAAGCTAAAGTGTTTTGTTTTGACCCATTTATGAATTACTGAAGAGACATTCACTATTCTCCCTTGTATGCCACTTTCTAATGCTGTTTCCACCATTTTTTCCAGCAGCATTTGTGTCAGCACAAAATGACCTTCCAAAACAACAAAAAATGAATAATGAAAATATATGAAAAATTACAAATATGCCCTGTAACTTGAAACATGTGACTTCGCTTAACAATTTTTGAACATTGTAGAAAATGTTTACTATGTAATTGATAATTTTACTTATTTTTCTTTGCGCGTTTTTAGCAAATTTTGCTCGATATATTTAAAAGCACAAAAGTTACTGAACAAATTTGTTGTATGTCTCAAATTACTGGGCATGTTTTATAATTTTGGCTAAAGAGTTGAGTGAGTGAATAGGACTTTACCTAAGTGATTATTAAATATTTGAGAAAGGTCAAATTTTCAATTACCTAGGTAATTAGTGGCAAAAGTCAGCTCAATTTTGTCATCTGACAACTCCAACTTTGGTGAATATTTGCCAGCATTATTTCTGCAGCACAGTAATGAAAGTAATTAGATATCTATCTGCCATTAGTTTTTCATGCACCAACTTTTTCTACTTGTTCACACACAAATCACTTCTTTCTGAGGGGACAAAATAAAGTAAAAACAAAGAAAAAAATATAAAGTTTGTCGGTACCATCTCACAATAAGATGGTGCAAAGATAGAAAAAGTATTACTCTTTTATGCTTAAACAGTGAATTTAAGTGAAAAATTATGCCTAAAAATATTAATATTTATTTGAATAAAAACAAGAAAGAACATACATGAGAATATGAAGTGGTAGTCCTAAAGATGAGAACTCAGAAGAAAATCTCTGTATTGAAGCAAGTGAGCTCAAGTCCATCTCTAGTGCAATTATTTCAGCTTTTGGACACTCTTTTTGTATGCTTTTCTTCAAATCATCGGCTTTTTTCAAATCCCTTGCCGGAATTATGATCCTCAAGCCATTCTTGGCGAGCACTCTTGCTGTTTCGGCACCTATGCCGGAAGTTGCACCTTCTCAGACGAACAAAAGCTCAAGTTTTATCTTTAGAAATTAACATAATACACTTGTTAGGTTATTTGCAATGGATACAAAGGTTGTTGTTTATGTGTCTTAGCTGTTTGATTAATGGAGCATAAGCCAAGATGCTATACTATATTTTATCGCGAACGATTATTGATCATGAGAATTTCACGATTAGTAGTATACTTACTAATATCTTCAAAGAAGGGATGAACCATTAATTAATGCATGAGTCGATAATCGAGGAGAACTACAGAGTAGAAACAACAACAGTATATTTATTCAAACAAGAGTTGTGCAAATTGTCGTTATAAAACAAGGGTAAATAGTACATAAGAATCCCGATCGAAGGAATGTATAGTAATGTTGCGTACAAAGAATACTCAAATACAAGAAATATATAAAAAGAAGCAAAAATATGGAAAAAAAAAATCTGCATTTCTTACCAGTGATAATTGCATTGAGCTGAGTTTTGGGCATTGAGAAGAAGCAATCTTGAGCAATTTTCTGAGCAGTTGTTTTAGAGCCATAACCGCTGGGGCCTTTGATTCCCACCAAATACTTTAGTGTTGACTTCATGAGGGGCACTAAAGTTGCATCTTTTAATTGTCTCAATGGTGGAAATTCAAGCATATATATATAACACACATCATATTTGCCCATTTCAAAATTTCATGCACCCATTGGATGCGACTTATCTTCTCGCACAAACTTCGCGTTAGTTATTCTGTTAGGCTGACATATTTTTTTCACAAATATTCATATTTTCATTGTAATATGCCATATTGAAGAAAAAAAAACAAACAAAACATAAATGCAAGTATGACATTCAAATGAGTAGGCATTTTCATTCACACAAACTGTAACTCGATTTACATATTTGTGTATGTTTCTACGAACTTTAGATATGTTCTGTATTTTTTTATTTTTTTATTTTTTTCTTGAAGTAGTGTCGATGAACCTAAAGGTTAGGCCAAAGCATATCAAAGTTTTTGTGAGTTTGGGCAGCCAAACAGACCCAAAGCAAATTCACACAGTTCTCAACAATGCTATGTGCTAATTAATAGTACTATTGTCACCATAATCCATTCCATTAATTAGGGCAGTTAGGTTAATTGTAAACAAATTTGGTGAAATAGAAGGGCACTGACAACCACCTATATCTATCTGGGGTCCAAATGGCACCATTTATGTGTCCTCTTAATTTCCAAAATTTCTTAATTCAATTAATTAAAAGCTCAAAAGCACCACCTCCACAAAAAATGACATTCTTTACAGTCAATCATTCCCTTACACAGTTTTTTTACCATCCATCTATGGATTAAAAGATCACAAAAGTGATTAAAATAGTGTTTCATGTAATGTAATGTCACATAAGCTATTCTTCAACACTCTTGTATCATACAAGAAGATAAACGACTGTTTTACTATGAATATCATCCTCATTTTATATCGCATGTAATTTTGTCCTACCAACTTCACTGGGGATTTGTATTATGATATCACATGTCCTTAAGCTTGCTTCATGCTCACTCAGGGACTCCTTCCAAAACTTCTCATTGGGTCATCTAACCTGTCATCTTTTTCTTCAAAACAAGCACACATTCAAATTGCTCCAAATCGGTCACATTGAACCTTACGAATCTCTACAAAACGCGCACCAGAAAAGGAAATGTATCTAATAGATATGGATTTTACTAAACATCAAACGATACTATGCAGTACATTTTGCTTTTATGCAATAATACAATCAATCATCTCTACATTATTCATTCGGCTGTAAAATGATATCACACTACCTAAAATTTTTAAGCAATTCCTGTCCTGTGCTTGGGCTAGACAATCAATGGAAAATCTAGAAAAGAAAAAGAATGAAAACAAAATAATACGAGCAAGTGAATGATGCTACTGCACAGGGTCTAGTATAGTCCAATTTACTTCAAGGGGCTCAGTCTTGGAAATTCTGAGTTCCCTGTAAATTGAAATTTTGACTGTCAAATGGCATTTCAATACTCCACTTCATCTCTCCTCTTCTTTTTTCATGCTTTGATTCAATTTATTAACAAACACAAGTTTGTATACATCTTTTTCCATGTTGTAACGGAAGGAAAGTTTATATACCATTCTTTCGCAAAACAGTGGCCAACCGAACCACGCCAAAGTCAATCATGCATGCTTGAACAGTTTCATGCTCAACCAATGAAGATATACTGTGACAACGAGGATCGGAAGTGTCAAAGGTACCACGAAGCAATAATACCTGTCCACAGTCATATTAACACTATCAAACTCTAATCTTCTGTTGTTGTCTATGCAAGAATGTGAAACAACTGATTAATGCAGAGGATTGGCTTTGTTTGTCTCAAATGAATGACAGATATTTTGCTGAAACTAATTTCGCAAAAAGTTCATGGTTTTAAACATAAATAAAAAAGGCAATATCAATTAATTAATCCCCAGAAAAAAAAATCATTAGTACAGATCCTTCTAATCAAGTGTAGTACTCAAGTGGAGCTACATAGATCGTATATCCACAGACCAAGAAATTCAACTATGAGAAGATAATTGTCTCCATCACTTCAAGAAAATCAATCTAACTTCCAATGAGAAATAGCACATTATATGGCAAGATAACTCTTTGGAATAGTGATATGATCACGATATTAAATGGAATCATTGAATAAACCAGAAGAATGCATTACCAAGACACTTGATGTACTAGACCTGCATAACTGAAATATTTTGAACAAAAACACATACCAATCATTTTGTATAGCTCGGATAATCGCGTTATCAGATGGAGGCTGAAGCTTTGATACGACGGCAGCATACACGAAACCCACAAATGAAAATGAGCCGATCATAAGAAAGAAGCAGCCCCAGAAGATCCTCCCATTCGAAACTACAAACTGCGGACGACTAAGCATTTTCTCCAGCCTTTCACTTCATCTGTGCATAAAAGAAGCATCTTTTTCAGAGTGATTCTTACATATCATTCATCAAATTTGCATCTACTGCAAATGCCAACCAAGATCGATTTTTTTTCCGTAGACAATAAAAGGTGGATAGGAGCGCTTGGAGGCTCGCTATCAACGTGCCAGAACCGTGACTTTTGCTCCTCTCTCTCTCTCTCTCTCGTTTTTTTTGGTTCGAGTCTTCTTCTCTTGGGTTTCATCTCTAGCCTACCCCGACTTGCTTGGGACTAAAGGCTATGTTGTTGTAAACAATAAAAGGTGGGGTTTACAAATGCAGACGTTGTTTCAATTTCACACCCCATTTTCCCTCAATCTACTGAATCATTTGAATTTACCACAAAAAGAACCAAAAATGAGAATCTCGATTTTAGCTTCACGGACTGGATATTAAAGCTATATCAGACCCAATGACCGCGCTAAAGCAGGATAAGAACGGGACGAATATGAAATCTCGAGTTTTGAAGCTTCGCTACAGAAATTAACAATGGCGGTTAATGAAGAGAACAAGCAGGAATAGTAAATGTATACCTGAAATCAATGACTCGCTGCAGAGGCTCGCCTGAAAGTGGAGGGAGATCGAGAATCCTGCAACACAGGCGGCAGGAAAGGGGGCGCCGGCCGTTTGGGCTGACGGCGGCCGTGCGACCGTCTTTCACAGTCTCGCTTTTACTTTAGGAACGGTTGAAATGAACCGGATCCTTATCGTGTTTTGTCCCGGGTCTCGGGACTCGGATGAGAGGTCGCCCAGCTGGGCCAACTGTGGATTTGGACCGACTTTGAAACTTGGGTAATATTTCCTATTCGTGGCCCATGGCCTGGAAATCTCACATAAGATCTACTTTATTATAATTTTAATTTTTTTTAAAGGATATATTATTTCATTTCATATATTTGCTATAAATTATTACACAAATAGTTATTGTTATATATTTTTCAGTTTAAAAGTACTACTATTCTATTCATATTTCAATCTTATCTATTAATATTTGTATTATTTTTATATCACATCAATTTCAACCATTATACATTTATCTCATAGTCATTATATATTTATGCTCATGCACTATCTCATATCATGTCGTATTTCCATTTAATTTTTTTGTTTCATCAAAATCTTCTATCACCATATATCCAAAACCATAAATACTACCATTGGTGCAATATTTATACATGTATAACAACAAACCACACATACATATGCACACATTATATTGGTAAAACTAGTTGATACCTTATAAGCGAATTACGAGTTTATAACTAATTGTTTATGGCTAATGCTTGAAAAATTAGTTAGTTGATATAATAAACGTGTTTTGTAAAATTAGTTTAGAAGTCAACTGAAATAAAAATTCAAACAGACTTATTTGAAAAGGAAAGCTTATGAGATAGTTCATGTTTTCTAAAACAACCTCTCCTGTCAAAATAAAGTTATTCGAATGTAGGAAGCTCATAAGCTACATAAATAAGTTATAAACCAGTTATGATGCTCACTAAACACGCTCTAAATAACACCTATCACTTCCAATGTTTGCTTTTTAATTTTGGAAGGTTGAAAATTATACAATAGTAACATTTTAATAATATGATACTATAAAAATATAACTCAAATTTGGCTACATACATTCATTTTATCATATGTAATTCTCTTAATCAGCAATGGATACACGTAATTTTGTATAATAATATGTATTGCATATAGATTCTCATAATTAAATTGTCCCAAATCATTAAAATAATTAAAAAATAGTGATGATATCATTTTATCTCTATATATAAATGCCATCCCATTACTTGGGTCTCGCAATTAGTGCACAACAATCTCTCGCTATAAGTTAGTGCAGTTATTTACTTATTTTATTAAAAAAAAAATTGTCAAAACAAACACTAATTAACAATTGTTGTTCGTTAATTTGTTTTCTTTCTGTAAGCAGCTAGCTAGCCATCAATCGAAGCAAAAAATAAAACCATTAAATGGAGTATATGAAAATGAGTTTGGTCCATCTTTTGGTGGTGTCTTTGGCCTTGAACGTGGAGCTGTTATATAGAGATTGGAAGCACAACAAATCTCAACAATTTTCCTACTTAAAAAATGATGATGAAAGTTCTCTCCAAATTCAATCCTCTCCAGTGGCTTTTGACCAAGTTATCAATCTTGAGCAGTAAGTATTTTATACTACTATTTATTTATTTCGCAATAGGAAAATTCATAATTACAGTAGTACCGTTAGATCAGTACACAGTGTGTACGTGCTAGTTTGATCTAACGGTTCTGCGCACACCTGCACGGTCGATTCTTCCATGAAAAATAGGCCGTGTTTAATATTTGACCTCATTGTTTTCTTTTTCTTTCTTTCATACTTTGCCCTTGAAGAAAATTGACTTATAAGCTTGACTTTGCATTGCAACAAATTAAATATTTGAATCTCCAAACTCTACAACCTAGTAGAGATCTAGTTTAGTATATTTTTCAATCTAGAATCAATTACTAATTTTTTCGTATACTTTGTCCCTTGATCTAAAATTTTAGTTTTTAGATCCATCCAAACATAAATTTTATTTACTATATCATCTTGCTTTAAATTATATTGCGATCAATGAATGAACAATTAAACTGTTAAAAAAATCTTGACATGTTCTTGTAATTAATGGTATTTATCACGGGAGCATGATATGTAAATTCATGCAATATGCCACGATTCACGATTGCAAATTGAATAAATGTAAATAAAAATGGAAGCTTTTTCAAAATTTTTAAGCGGAGTTATGGCCATACTTGTGCAGTGGCGATCCAACGATGTACGAGAGGTATTGGCAGCAGATGGGCGAAAAATCAACGGTCGTGATACCCGGTTGGAAATTCATCAGTTACTTTTCTGATGTTAATAATCTTTGCTGGTTTTTGGAGCCCGAGTTTGCGAATGCGGTTGTGAGGCTCCACGATTTTGTGGGCAATGCCGTGACCAAAGATCGTCACATAATAGTTGGGTCGGGTTCATCTCAACTCTTTCAGGCCGCACTATATGCTCTTTCCCAGCCCAATAATGATTCCGAGCCCATTAATGTTGTCTCGGCTGCACCATACTACTCGGTAAGTTGGCTTTCTTTTATAAATAGGGAGAAGTATTCAGCAAAATTTCAAATTTATGCTATTCTCATTTCAACTACTCTACAATGTACTTGTTAATGTATTCATTAATTAGATGTGCTTTAAAACACTAAATTTTAATAATAGAACATAATCATAAACCAAGAAATCTTAATTTTCCTTTAAATTTTGAGGTTAATTAATTTTTCGTCGTTTTTTTGCAGTCATATCTACCGATCATCGAACTTGTCAAGTCGGGACTATACAAATGGGGTGGAGACGCGCGCTTTTTCAAACCGGACAAACCGTACATCGAGCTCGTAACATCTCCAAACAATCCAGACGGATATTCAAGACGAGCTGTGGTCAATCAAAGTCAATTAGGAATGTTGATACACGACTTTGCTTATTATTGGCCGCAGTATATCGCCATCACTTCCCGTGCAGATCACGACTTAATGTTGTTTACAGTTTCGAAAAGCACGGGACATGCCGGTTCGCGTTTGGGGTAAAGAATATCACTAGATAATAATAACAAAATAATCTAAAATTAATTGAGTTTTACTAATATTTTTTTTATGTAGTTGGGCTATTGTGAAAAATCGAGAGGTTGCTAAGAAGATGACGGATTTTGTCGTGCTTAATACGATTGGCGTGTCTAAAGAGTCGCAGATTCGTGCAGCAAAGATCTTGCAATCTATAATCGACAGCCACAAAGACACGAAAGTCGAGGCATTTTTCGAGCATACGTTCGACCTCATGGCTGCAAGGTGGAAGAAGCTTCGTGACGTAATAAACAAGAGTGAGATCTTCACGTTGCCCAAGTATTCTCCCGAGACGTGCAGCTTTAGTGGTCGTACATTTGCAACACAACCCGGTAAAAATTTCTTCAAAAACAAGTCCATTTTGCGCTATTTTCGTACAAAAGACTGACCGTCTTTTTTTTTTTTTGCAGCTTTCGCTTGGGTCAAGTGCAAAGGCGAAGAAGTAGAAGACTGCGGAAGCTTCCTTCGCAATCATGGTATCATAAGTAGAAGTGGGACCCACTTTGGGGAGAGCGGGAAATATGTTCGAATAAGTGTTGTGCCACAGGACCGAGTGTTCGAACAGTTTGTGGGGAGGTTATCTACTATAGGTTAAAATTGTTTTTTAGTCTTGCACAAGCTGCAAATGTACATTAAATTAAGGTGATCTGTTAGTGTTACCACACTACTTGTTGCTTGCTAGGTAAAAAACTTAGTTTATTTGATTAAAGTACAGTGAATTATGCAGTGGTAGAAACAAAATCACAGCATCATACAAAAAAAGATTTTAAAAAATGAAAAATTATTTGGAAATAAGCATTCTACTAAAAAGTCTATAAGCATGAATAACTTGAAACAGGGGAAGGCACTGTGACATGTAAGTGATCACACTTGCATATTTAGTCCAATTTTCTTTGTCCTATAATGGAAACAAGAATTTTTTTCATTCATTGAGGATCTGGCAATGTATGAGAGTTATAAGGCCAAACCTCTCAAATTGCGCAATACCGGTAATTTTGAAATTGTAACGAATCTACTCAAACATTCGGCGTAAATTTTGCACATAAATTTCTTGCGCTCGACAAAATTAAAACATTTACGATCCATTGTGTTTCTAAACTGCCCATTTTCTAATATATGTCTATTTCATTAGCTCTACCAAGAGAGAAGGCATTATAGCTTTTGAAAATTCAAACATATTCAATCAAAAGAAGAACATGTTATAAAAAAATAAGTAAATGTGGTACAGTATATATTTTAAATGAACACCACATGATTTCTTGCTTCACTCTTTTACTTGTTGTATTGGATAATAAGAATCAATCATAGCGAAAGTATGCCAATCAGAGGTGAAAAAATAAATGAAGCTAGCCAGCCAGTGGGGTGCACATGTTGAAATTTGCACGTAATGAGCAGCTTTTAGCAGATACATGACATTTTTTACAGCTACTTACACAGTAGAAAGATTTTTGACAAAGTATGCTACAGTCAAGTACAAAAGGTATACTCGCCTAACGGTTATACAATCTAATCTAACAACAATAATATTTGTGATGAACAAATGTTTCATGTTTATTCTTATGTTATTCAAAATAAAAATCAATTATATATCATGTCATATTATATCAATTCACCATTTAATTCAAAATCAACATACCTGTATCGGTTGGTGAAATTATACCTACATTTCTTTTGTTAATACTTAAAGTATAAGTATAGTATGATAGATTGCTTCATCTAATGGTTAAAATCTATGTTTATATAATTTACAGAAAATATAAATAAATTTATATAGCAATGATTGGTATTGCCATATATGCATAAGTTTGCTATAAAGATCTGGGCAGCCTTTAAAAGGCTGTTAAAAGTTGACATTTTGCAAGAACTGATCACAATAAATACGTACCTATATTATGTTAAAAAATATAATATAACTAGACAAAGGTGAGTCCAGATTATTCCACAAAGCAATGAAGATGCTTGTTGACACTTTCTTTTTCTTGGTTAGCGGACTTTTGAGATCATATTTTAGATAAGCAATTTTGAAGCCAAAGGCTACAACAATTATAAAATATATACTCTACTATATATATAAAATCTTAGCCTTACAGACTTTCATTGCAAAAAAGCTGAAATAAACAAGTAGTGCAAGAATTAAGAATACATCATGGTTGGTTAAAAGAAAATCTGTGAGCATGAACTGGACTCCAATATTCGAAGACAATTTTTCTCTAACAAACGAAAACTTCACACACACTGACACACACAATTACATATTTCTTTATACATGTTACCAATCATGATGATCCATAAATTCCTCATGATAATATATGTGATTCAATAGTAAAAACTGGTGTCCGCATGAGTTT